TCCTTTGAAGTACTTTGCTCACCTTCGAAGAGTAAAATGATTATTCAAAGCAGATTAACTAAAGGCATAGAGCAAAGGAGCTTAGAAGGGTGAGGGTGGCAGAGGTAATAAGGTATGAATGAAATTACTTAAATAGATGCATGTTGGATGATGGCCCCTTATTGCTAATCAGAGACGTAATGACAATAATTATGGATTCTCCACAAACCCAAATTTTGAAGTTAATGATTTAATACTTTTACATTTACTCTTACAATCTCAATTCATCATGAAAATGACATTTGTATTGATACATTATTCAATATTCTTTTAGATCTTTCTCATGTTCTCCCTGTATAATGGTCGATTTACATTGCACAAATTTTGCAACTTTAGCTTAAGCCGTGTTTTTTCGCTTAAGCTAAAATTATCGATAAAAATTTACTTGCTGGAGGTAATTTGCTTAAGAGGGAGATAAATAGCTTAAGCTGTGAAATACAGTACAATTTTGGCTTAAACAATGAATATTAGCTTAAACGAATATCAAGGTAAATAAATACTTCCATTATAACCAATATAGCTTAAGCGAAATCACTACAACTTAAATGATAGGGGCTTACTATTTCGTTAAAGCTAAACATATATCACTTAAACTGGAGATATAACGCTTAAGCTACTATATCTCCGGCTTAAGCAGATTGTGTATCGCTTAAGCTTATAATACTAGTTTAAATGAACAAGTTAAAGCTTAAGCTAAGCGATAAACATAGCTTAAAGAAATTAAGTTCAGCGTAAGTGAATTAAATAGAGTTCAAGCGAATAAATTCTAAGTAAAACTAAAAATATTGGGCTTAAGCTAAAAATATCACATGCTTAAGCGAAAAATAACACGCTTAAGCTAAGTTTAAACTAAACCTTGAAGTTACCATATGTATTTATGCGAAACATATTAGCTTATACTTATGTGAAAAATTAAGCATTGTTCTGAAATGGAGTAAAGAGGTAAGCTACATATGAATCACTAAAGCAGAGATGAACTACTTGAAGTGGATTTGTTTCCTATGCTCAAGGCTTTATGAATGATATGCGCTTAAACAGATACATACGAGCTTAAGCACAAATGTAATGGTAAGTTGCGAAATTGCATATATTTTCTTCGATAATTCAGGAACAACCATAGAATATTGAGATTGTGTAACCTCACACCCAACTCATTAAGGAAACCATCACTAAGCTATGACATTTCATGTTATAAGAAAATAATCAAAGATAAGTGAGACCATTATTAGTAAGAATTTTATTGTTCAAGCTACCTCTTGTTACATTGCTCATATTATTCTCCATTTATTTAATTATAAACTTCTGAACACATTTTACAAAATTTAAATCATGTCACCCTGTATAAATAAGGTGATTAATCTTTTAGAAATTAATATGAAGTAAGAGATGGATGGTTGTAATTCGCTTTAGCTAAACTATACGCTTAAGCTAATTGTAAGGAGTATTTTAAATTAATCTCTATTTTAGATTAGCTTAAGCCACAACTCATAAGTTTAAGCGAATGTGTGTTAGATTCATATGTGTTTTTTAATTAGCTTAAGCTCATGATTTGTGGCTTAAGCTAATTTTGATAAAAAATTTAGATTCATCTCAATTTTTTATTAGCTTAAGCGAGTTTGTACTAGCTTAAGCAAATTTGACAAAAAAATTAGATTTATTTGTCTGAATTTAGCTTAAGCTAATAACTTTGGCTTAAGCAAGATGATAATGATAAGTTGTAAAACTGTACACACGTTCTTCGCTAATTCAGGGACAACCTTGGAATATTGGAATTGTGTAACCTCACACCCAATTCATTATGGAAACTGTCACTAAGCTATATCATTTCATGTTTCAAAGATAAGCGAGACTATTATTAGTAATACTTTCATTGTACGATTGACCTAAGCCATCATAAAATTGAATGAGAATGTTTCTGGGTAAGATGATTTAATTGTCTTTTTGATGGCCTTCTAAAAGCATCTTATTTGAGAAAGTTTTGTGTTGATGAATAGGAGACCATTATTAGTAAGACTTTAAATTTTACTTTGCAACCACACCTCGTTAAAGGTTTACTTTGACACTCACTATTCTCATTGGTTGAAGTCTTCACATGAAATTCTTGCCTATAACAAACAAATGTTTGCTGTAAAATTTCATGTTTACTATTTCTAAGGATTGTGTATTTCCTAGCAGAAAAATCATTTAGTCTTGCATACCATGTATAAAACAAGTACACCACGTCAAAACTTATGAAATGAACATTTCTTATTTGGTGAGGGCTAAAGTTTTTCAGATCGATTTCAAGAATGTCTTCCAAGCTATCAATTTTAATTACCACATCATTATCATCTACATTAGGCATTTCATCATTTATATTAGTGTCATTTGCATCATCAGTGCAAGTTTCCTCAACTTCAGTTTCTTCTTCATCTTTAAAATAAATTCACCTTCATGTTTTATGTCTAACAAAATTTTATCCAATCCTATAACAAAAGCAAATAACACTTTCAAAAATATAATTTGAATCCAAGGTAAAAACATTGTACTGATATTCAACTAACTTTATTGATACCTTTGTTAATCCAAGTACTTTGGGAAATGAGTTACTTTTCGCTACATTACTTATATTATTCTCCATGTATTTATTTATATATTATCAAATTTTAAACACTTTTTACAAAATTAGAATCATGTCACCTTGTAGAAATAAGATGATTAATCTTTTAGAAATTAACATGAAGTAAGAGATGTATGGCAATTAAAAATTAAATTTAATTAAACAATATCCTTACCTCAAAAGCTGACAACATAAAATGTTATTATATCTTATAAAATTTTTGTAACTTCGTGCTTGCCAAGTATATTTTATTACTGTCATTTTTACTAATCATAACATGAATTTAAGCTTATTTATAGAAAAATAATTAATATTTTTGAATAAAATATCACTTTAACCAAACTGTAATTTGCTTTAGCTAAATTGTACATTTAAGCTAATTATAACGAGTATTTTAAGTTAATCTTTATCTTAGATTAGCTTAAGGCACAATTGATAAGCTTAAACGAATGTGTATTACATTCATATATGTCTTTAATTCGCTTAAGCTTATGGGTTGTGGCTTAAGCTAATTTTGATGAAAAACTTAAATTCATCTCAATCTTTTGATTAGTTTAAGCGTATGTGTGTTAGCTTAAGCAAATTTGATGAACAAATTAGATTTATCTCTGTCTTAGATTAACTTAAGCTACAATCTATGAGCTTAAGCGAATGTGTGTTAAATTCATTTATGTCTTTAAGTCGCTTAAACTCATGTGTTTTGGCTTAAGCTAATTTTGATGAAAAATTTAAATTCATCTCAGTCTTTGATTAGCTTAAGTGTATATTTGTTAGCTTAAGCAAATTTAACAAACAAATTATATTCATCTTTGTGTAAATTTAGCTTAAGTGAATAATTCTGGCTTAAGCTAAATTTACAGCCAAGTGAATTTGTGCATTATTTCTAGTTCAACAAAATCTTTCTAATCATCACCCTTATTCTAATCAAACAAAAAATGATGATTTTTAAGATAATTGAGAGTATAACAATAGAAAAGGAGAATGATTCTTTGAGTTTAGGGTTTATGGTAGATATGACAATCGGGTTTGCATACTATTAAGGAGGAGAAATAAAAAAAGAATTGAAATAGAGAAAAGAAAAATTAAACAAAGTTTCTACAATAATATTTTAAAAGATGATTCTTGAATTTTTCTTCAAAAACAAAGATGGGAGTGAATTTAAGAGAACATGATATGGTTTCTTGTGAATAAGTAATTACATTCTTTTTTAACCTTAAAAAGAATTATGTTAAAAAAAGGATCTATTTTAAATATTTAAAAGATTTATATCCCTTATCTACAAAATTTGATAAGAATTAATTTTTAAAACCTACTAGATAGGCCATTTTACTAATTTATTTGTGAGTTACCTAATATACTAACTCATGTTAGCTTTCACCCTTTTTGTTTTTATCTTACTGTAACTTACTTTAATATTTTATTGGAAATTAAAGCAATTTATGCAATCCAAAATTATAAATAATATTATGAGATTATATAAATTAAGAAAAAATAGTGTTGAAAAAAATATATTAAAAAAATTCTATTGAACTTAAGGCACGATGCAATTGAATTTTATTTTTTTTAACTTTGTACTTTATAACTAAAAAGTTTAAAATTTTTAAGAAAGAGAATATTTATCGTCATAAACATATAACGTTACAAGGATAACGAGTTGAGATAGAGTTAAGACAGTGAGATATAAATTACTACATTATTAAAATAGGTTTAAAAGTATTTGAGATGTGAATTTTAAAAAGAATAAGATATGTTCATAAATTACCAATAACATTGAGACGTCATGAGGCGAGAGTAAGATGAATTAAAAGATCATAAAAGAAAAGCTAAAGATATTTACTTTTTTCTTATTTTACTTAAAAAAAAGGAAGAAATTGGCATATTTGCTATCTAATTTTAGATTAACTGTAAAAAACTAATTTCAATAGTATTTTGACAAAAAGTAAAAAGAAAAGAAAAGAAAACTATGATGTCAATGTGTCATTGCTTCGAACCCAAGAGTCTTCTACCTTTTCTCAGTGTACTCTTGGGATTGCTCCTTGTCACCAATACGTCAAGGGAGATAGCTATTTCAAGGTTCTGCAAAAAAAAAAGTTGAAAATGTGGGTGCTTCTGTTTTACACACTTAATTATATTTAAAGCACTTAAACGGATTGCTTTGTGACGTTATCTCATTAATAGATAATTGCCGGTTGCACATTGATATTAAGCTCATTTAAACGCATTAGTTGTTTAATGAGGACTTAAATTGACATATTTAAGCAAATTACTCTTATCTAAAAACAGGCTTAACGAAACTTCTAAAAAGTTAATTCTCCTTGTTTCTAGTGTAATGACATAAGTACATTTTACATATTACTTGTCATTAACATAAGAGAGGCCTTTCTGCATCAAACTCACTCTCTAAGCCATCTCCATCCGCGTGCCCTTCTTTTCCTTTGGCCCAAAGAACTGAGTAGAGTCCCGTGAACATGAGTAACATACCTACAAGGCTGTAATGCAGTGTTGTATGTAGTGAGGAAAAAGATACTATAATTGGAAATGTAATTTGCCAAAGTCAGTAGCTAGGAATCTTAATAATAATATACCTTCCAATATTAATAGTGTCTCCTGTTGTAACTACCGAGAAAATAACAGAGCAGACTGTACCAATGGGGTTAAACATGGAGACAAACACTGGCCCTCTCTTCTTAAGTGCCCACCCGTTGAAGCTCAGGCACATTCCACTCACTGCACCTGCCTGTGCATTTAGAATTTTTATGCCTTTAATACCCATCACAATCAAAATAAAAAGTTACTTACATAAATAGACCTTACGCTTTGCTAAACATTAATGAAAAAACTACATTCATTCAATAATAAAAATTTACCATATAAGTATACTAATCAAATTTTTTATTAAAATAAAATTAACTTCTAAGAATTATAAATTATTTTCGTATAATTCTAATAAACTTTTATAAACACCCCATTTATTATGAAATTCCATTATCACCAATAAAATGAGGAGACAAGTGAAAATTACCAGCACGGAACAGCAAATCAGGTTTCCATAACTGAGCAATGCCGAACCAAGTTTTGGTTCGCGATCTCCAAGTAACTGAACAAATGCAGTGATGAGCGCCCCAAACAAGGACGTTATTGCACCCAAGGACATGGGTGCAGGAAAATTTCCAAGAGCAAAAGCCTACAAGAACAATAATATTTGTCTAGTTATGAAATTAAGAGGGTTTTTGTTTCCTTTTTCTTATTTATTTGATCAAAAGTCACCTGCATGACAACGCTGCTTGACAAAATCAACACTGAGACCATGAGATAGACGCAACCCATTATTTTGTGTATGTCAAAGGTAAAACCTGACGGTGTCCTTGATAATTGAACTGTGGCATCTTTCTTGGTTGCAGGAGCAGAAAGGCTTTGCATCACGCTCATTGTGAGAGCGCCCAAGACACACAGCAATGTTCCCAAAATTTTTACTTTACTAACCTTATTGCGTAAGTTGACTTTCTCTAACCTGTCAACATTAGATTTTCCAATCCATTACCGAACTTCTACTGGCACTAACCACGTGAATAAAATTTATATCAAGCACTTTATATATAATAAAAATTTTATTTCGATAATAGTATAATAAAAATTAACATTTAAAGTTGATATTGATTTTTAAAATTCAACTCTTATTTAAATTAAAAATACTTAAACCATTACATCTAATTTTGTCTTATTCACATTCCTTATTGTTGTTATTATTATTTGTCTCAAATGTGTATTACTATAACATTTTCCCTTTCCAACACAACCCTAAATTATTTTGAGCTAAAATAGTAAGTGCACCATCCTAGGCAATGATTTACCACATTCACCGTTAGGGGATGGATTACAACAAAATTTTCAAAACCCACATAAAGTAAGATTACCCAAAAGTCCATGCGATGATGAAGATAAAACCTGGGGCAAGGTTTGGCATTGCAGTTCCCATTGCTGGCGAAGTTAGATTGATTCCTTTTAGGAATGTATACTGAAAGGCTAGTCTGCATAACAACGGCCACGATAATGGAAAAAAATAAATCAACTTTATATTAAATTTTAGAAATTTGAAGAAACAAAACACGGAGTGAAGTTCTTAATGGCAAAACGGCTAGACGGGTAAAAACATCTCAAGGATCAGAACCACAAATACAGAGGATTTTTTTGTTTTGAGGCAAATGTAGAGGATTGTTAATATTACAGGTCGATAAATATTGAATTACGGGTTGTTATGTGATTTGACTAGTTTTCTTCTTCTCTATAAATAACGATTAGGGATACATCATTTCAATTTCAAACCGTATGATTTCACTGATTAACTTTATCATTGACTGCTGAATCTCTAAACAATTTATAATGGAAAGGAGAAAAAACAAAAGAATCACTTCTTTGATGCATTAAAAGATTTCATTTAATGTTGTAGTGGGATGAAAGATTCTACCAACTCAAAATAATTTCCCACTTCCTAATTAAAAAAACAAAATGAATTGAGAAGAATACACTTCGATACTCGAGAACAAAAACCTAAAATATCATCATCAATTGTTTATCATTTTTTCCAGATATTCAACCGGAACGTTAGTGAAAATAAAAATAATTGATAAAGGAAAGTAATATAAAGTTATGACATTTTCTTACCCTCCAAACGAAAGAAAGGATATTTGCATAATCAACTTGAGACTACAATTCTTGGGCCACTTACTCCTGCAACACATAAAAAAAACATTATGACATTAATCTCCATATAATTATCATCCCAACAAAATATAGAAAGTAAAAATAGCTTTTTTACAATTCATTTAGAGGGACGGAGGAAATAAAGAGAAGGGACCTTTCAAAACAAAAGGCAATGGGGAAGAGAATAAGGAACGTAGCCAGGGAAGTGAAAACGATAATGGTAAGAGAGCTGAAGCCCAATGACATAGAATAACCCATCAACACAGCGTTCCCTGCGTAGACAAATTGGACTCCTATCAATCCTCCTATTATTGCAATATCTTCCATTACTCTCTTGTCCATCGCCATGTTTTCTACCGACAATTGAACTTTTATCAAAATGTCTCTTTGATTTTTGTTATTATCAAGATAGGATATTCGTATTGCATCCTACCCTCTCTTCATTCTCCTTTGCATTTTCCTGTCTTAAGAGCACACAACCCTTATTTCAAATTTTTTTCAATTGTGTTCGTTTTGCAGCCCAAATTGCATTTGCTTGTTTCAGGAAATGGTAATACACATGAAAGTTGCTCTGCTCCTGCATTTGCCTCTCTAGCAAATCTTTGATTCCATTTTCGAGCCAGGCCAACCTTCGTGATGTTGGTGTATCTACCAACCTTTTCTCTCTGTGGTCTGACTTATTTTAATATTGTTCGGTCTTCCTATATATAAACACTGATAATTGGTTAACGTTGAAATGATTTTCTTTTTTCTAAATCTAGTTTTTTTCCTTAAAATTAGACAAGGGTCATACTTCTGTTTTCTATTTAACTGATGAAATAGAAATTTCGATAGATATTTCTTTAAGTTCTTTTGTTATAAATTTAATTATAAAATTTGATAAGATAAAGTAAATTATGAAAAAGTTTATTAAAATAAGATAATAAATATTTCTAGAAATGATAAATTATTTTTTATAGAATACTCTTAAGCTTGCCTTCAAGGCAAATGCATGCCTGCATGGTCTACTGAGTAAACTCACTTCAACACCGTTCATTGCATGGACGTATAATTAAATGAACACTTAATTAAATTTCATAATTTAACAAAAATTCTAGAATAACGTTGTGATTAAGAGAATATTTGAAATCGTTTTTTTTTTTTCAAGTATATAAAACTTGTGGATTTTAATACTACTGTAAGATTAATGATAAGAAGATAAAAGTATTTATGTAATCTAACGGAAATTCTAAAACAACGGTAAAATTGCACCCTTTCGACACACATCCCCCCAACCCACCCTTGGGAAAGCCATGCGAAGGTTTCTCTCCAAATTACAGAACCAGAAGACGCGTCGTTCCATTGCATTTCAATCATCCTTAGTACAGAGTATTACTTTGAACCAAATTCGTAGCATTGGAAGCAATGATTTCAAGATCCATGCTCAAGGTGTAACCAACGTTGAGTTGGCGTTATTTGAGGCCAATTCTGGGATTAAACCGAATTCCTTTGCTCTTGTAAACCTAGTTGTTGCAGCCAGTGACCTGAACTGTCCCTCATTCGGACAACAACTTCACAGTTATGTTTTACGCTCTGGGTATCTTTCCCATATATATGTCTCTGCCTCACTCATCAAATTTTATGTTACAATGCACTCTTTTAATGATGCCCACGCACTGTTCGTTGAAATTCCTCAACCGAACGTCGTTTCTTGGAACACTTTGATATCTGGGTATGTCCATGCTGGGCACTATCGAAAAGCTTTGTCTTTTTTCACGCGCCTAGAAAGGTCCCACATTTGTGCTGACGCGTTCTCATTCACGTCTGCTTTGGCTGCATGCTCCCATCTGAGTCTGATCAAACTGGGAAGCTCAATTCATTCCAAGATAGTGAAAATGGGCATGGAAAATGGCGCTGTTGTTGCCAACGGTTTGATTGACATGTATGGCAAATGCGGGTCTGTTGAACATGCTGTTCGAGTATTCTCTGAGACCATTGAAAAGGACATTATTTCTTGGAATTCAGTCATAGCAGCAAGTGCAAAAAACGGACACATTGAACTTGCATGCAAGTTTTTGCACCTTATGCCCAACCCTGATACTATCTCATATAATGGGTTGATAAATGGCATTGCTCAGGCGGGGAATATGGAAGATGCTATTCAGATTTTGTCAACTATGCCAAGTCCAAATTCATCTTCTTGGAATTCCATAATTACGGGATTTGTGAATAGGAATCGAGCTAGGGAGGCTTTGGATATGTTCAGTAAAATGCACTCAAGAAATGTGCACATCGATGAGTTCACGTTTTCAGTCATTTTAAATGGAATTTCTGGTCTATCAGCCTTAACGTGGGGGATGTTGATTCATTGCTGCGTAGTAAAGTGCGGTTTAGATTCATCCATAGTTGTTGGAAGTGCCCTAGTTGACATGTATTCAAAATGTGGGCAGGTAAAGAATGCTGAATTAATCTTCGATGCCCTGCCTAACAGGAATCTGGTAAGCTGGAATGCAATGATATCTTGCTATACTCGCAATGGTGATTTTCCACAAGTTATCCACATCATCGAGTTGATGAAGATGGAAAGAGATATAAAACCTGATGGTATCACATTCCTTAACCTTATATCCGCATGTTCCCATAATCAAATACCATTTGAGGTTGCAATTCATTACTTTGAGTCCATGATTGATGAATATAAGATTGCACCATCCGTTGAGCATTGTTGTTCAATGATACGGGTCATGGGGCAAAGAGGAGAGTTGTGGAGAGCAGAAAGGATGATACATGAGCTTGGTTTTGAGTCGTGTGGAGTGGTTTGGAGGGCTTTGCTTGGTGCTTGTGGAACTCAGGCAGACTTAAAAGTAGCAGAGAGTGCAGCTGCTAAGGTGATTGAATTGGAGAGGGATGAAGATTATGTTTATGTGATGATGTCTAATATGTATGCATCTTTTGGAAGATGGGAAGATGTAAATGTAATAAGGGGACTCATGAGTACGAATAGAGTTAGAAAAGAAGCGGGTTCTAGTTGGATACAAATAGATAGTTCTGTCCCATCCCCACTAGCCCACAGTACAGGAGAGTCTCTCTCGGATCTTCTAAATAAGAAATGAAGAACTGCATTTCTGAATATCCGATCCAAAATGTTGAGACGTTTGTTCATTAATTGCTTCACTTTACGTCTTTCATGTTACTAGACGCCCAGCAATTTCCCAAAGTTGTACAGTTCTGATGAGTGATGACCACACCCCCAAGAATAAACTAAACGAAGGATTGGGCCTTGTAACAGACTGGATCGTGTTGGATCCAGACGTTAAAAACACAAAAATGTATATATTTATTTTTTAGTTAAGCATTTATAAAGATTAAAAGTACTGTTGAATCTCGGGGGTGTAGTATTGTGTCTTGTAATGGACTGGATCATGTTTTAGTTGTCTCTGTCCTTTTGTGATTCGGCATGTTTCTATTTCTACTCTATAACTAAACATCATTAGACGTGGACCGAAAAAACATATTTTTATTAGACTAGTCTATTCGTTGTCCAAATTAGCTATAATTATATTCACAATATAAGCTAAAATGCTTGGGGACCTCTCCAATCAAGTATATAATTATATTTTAGGTATTATTGTATTCTATATATTTTTATATTCAAATGAGTGTGGGTGTCTTTTCAGCTATTAGTTTCCGTCTCGGAGTGCTGGATCTTCATGACCCCTGACCAATGGATGTGGCATTGTTCCACATTGTCAAGTTGGTCCATTCCATTTGGATAGCGAATGGATCAGTTTCATTTCGTGCCAAGTAGGAAGCTAGCCTTGGGAGGGAATGTTAGTTAACATTGATACCTATTTTGTCCATGTGATAGTTATATATACCTTCAATACAAAGGGATTCTTCAGCTCCTTCCACTAGTCGGGTAAGGCATATACACACGGATTACGGAATGTTATTCTATCCTCTTCAAACAACTATACTAAAAATTTGTATTTTTTTTTCATGGGTTTCCCAAAGGACTCTTATTTATTCCCTCAATCTTGTCATATGCCCTTTTCCATGGGTCTTGTCCCGTAAGCTTCCTCCCAAATCCAATCAAAAGTGCATTCAACTTTCCCTCCTAAAAGTTGCATCTTACTTTTCCACAAAAATAAATAAATAAAAAGATCGACATATTAAAGAAATATCTATTGTACCCAAAAAAAAAAAGAAGAAATATCTAAAATGTAATAAAAGATGAATCCTTAGGGCTTTGCCAATTGAGCTTTGCTATCTATCCTTTGGTTTTTTACACACATATAAAGATGAAAGAATAAAAATACGAGTATAAATGAGGAATTAAAAAAATTAAGCACATAAAAATAATATGAACAAGGCAAGGGCCGATGATAGGGTCCATTTAGATAAACGGGTTTGGGATCCAACAGCGTGGTTATAGGAATTCTCAGACTGCAACAAAGAACTAAAAGTGAAGTTGGGGTTGGAGCCATAAAGAGCTTGGACACCCTCCACGTCATCAATTTTTAAGTCGACCTTCTTCCTTCGGGGACTCAGGCTCGGGTACATCACCGCTTCCTTGACCGATGAATGACCCAACCCAAGCACGTGACCTATCTCGTGCGTGGCCACAGATTCCAAATCAACGGCCACCCTTGATTCCTCACGATCAAAATCAACGGACCACGTTTCCGCCGCATCCAAATGGAATCTCCCATTCTGAGGGGAGAACGCATGGGCCAAAACCCCCAAAACACCATCAAACGGTTCTCCGTCACCGTGATCACCCAAGTAAAACCCGATCTTAATATCCGCTTTATCGTACTCCTCCGTCTCCTGAAAACTCACCGGAATCACCGACGCCCACCGCGCAAACGAACGCTCAAACACCGCCCGAATTTCCGGGACGCTCAACCGGTCGATCATGTTGTACGGAGAGAAGGCATACGTAAGAATCATCGGAGAATCACGCACCCACCGTGGCTTGCCGTCGAAGTACGCGAAGTGGCGCGTGGTGTGTAATCCATGCGTCGCGGCATCAGAGACGCCGCATCTCGGAGCCACAATCGCGGATATGGTCTGAGAGTCGAGTTTTCCGGTGACGGGCAAGCCGAGCCGTGTCTGGTAACGGACGACGGCGGACTCGAATTGGGAATCGAAGGTGTCTGTGAAATTCGGTGTCGTTTCGGGCAGAGAGAGGTAACCGAAGTGGTGAAAGTACTTTTTCAGCTCCGACATGCCGCTGACGTGGCTACCTCTCTCGGCGTGCAAGAATTTTGAGAAGTCGTGCCACGTGGCGTTGTGCGTTTCGGATTCGGAGGTTATTACAGTTACGGATTCTGGTACGATCCTGGCGGGAAAGCAAGGGCGCAAAAGGAAGAGGGCCACACAGAGGAAGAAGAAGTTAAAGTAACTGAAAAACGGAAACATAACTGTTAGTTATGGCAGTTATGTTGGGGTGTGACTATGATTATGACTATGAGCCTCGTTGTTGCGGGGGAACCAACGAAAAGCTCAATTATTAACCTCGAATAAGGGAAACGTTATGGAGAAACAGAATATGTGATTAGCGATATTATCATAACTGCGAGTTTAGAATCATATGATATATATGTATGCGTATGGAGTTTGTCTTTGGTATGATCGAAGTAAATTAGGATGATAAAGATAAGAAGATTCTGCCCTTTTTGATGGGAGATCGTGACTTTTAAAGTGTGATGGTGGGTAAACTACTGTTTCTGTTAATATCTAATTATATTTTAAGTTTGGCCGTTTAATTCTGTTCGCCTATGCTTGGTGTTGGTGATGATTGATTTGTTTAGTGGAAATTGCAAAGGAAACGGGGATGGATGTGTAATAACTCTGAATCAGATATGATTTGTTCAAGTTTAGTTGGGTTGAAGAACTAGACTTATGTTGGTTGACCGAATTTGGTGGAGAGGAAGGGTTTTAGCTTCAAATATACGACAAAGACTTTATATTTCAGAAATAACTACGCAATGTATGACAAATAATGCCTCCTCCACTAAATTCCTCTATTAAAACTCTTTTTTTATATACGCTATTCTTCAATGGATTTATTTTGTAATTAATTATTAATATGTGACGCGGGATCACACATTAGTTCCGAATCATGGCATGAATCACAACTTAGCTGAATGAAATTTTGTATTGGGTGTTCAATTTCACACAGTCAAGTTCAAATTTGATGAAGGTAACAAGAAAGCGATGGGGGAAGTCCGGTCAAAAAAACACCATTCAATTTTTAAGCGAAGGCAATTGCACTTGGACTAACAGAACTTGTTTTTAGGTCTAGTCCTCCCTACTAAAGAGGTGGTATCTATTTCATTTCCTGTCCTCGTCATTTACTATTCTTAATTCTATCTCTCGTTTTAGCCCACATAATACCCGTATTTTAAGACAAGGATTTTCAAATTCTTAAAGCAAATATATTCACTTTTTTAAAAGTAATAATTGAAAGCAAATAATGAATAATACTTGTATGTGTAGAGCATAAACGGAACAATCAAGGCATGCACGGTTAGCTCCAATAGCAACAGAGGATGATCGGGGTCACGCAGCTTATCGTAACTACAATATGGATCGAGTCAAATAGATTTTGTAACATGATAGTAATTATACTGTAACAAATAGATATTGGATTTTTTTTTAAAAGTTGTGTTAGGTACATGCAGAATGAAGAAGTTGAGAAGATGACCAAATGAATTAGAAGATTAGAGATGGTCTAGTTTTTTGCTTCTTGTACATAACTTGAGCTCTTGTTTTATTATATAATAAGGACGGTTAAGGTCCAAGTGATCGGTGTATTCGCTTTCAATACGCCATTAGGTTATCTAGAGGATGGAAATTCTACTAGCCCTTGATGAATTATTTATTTTCCTTATTGTCATATCGTAATAGAGGGTCCCACTTTTCCCCTCTTTGGCACACTGGGGTTGGGGTTGCTTTCTGGGCCTACTTTTCTAATTGAATGTTTAATTTCAATAACAAAGAATTAATATAGTTGCCATCGTGACGAAAGCTTTGAAACCCTGGAACGGAAGCCAGAAACAAGGATAAAAAGAAACAAAAAATATATTTAATTATTAAAAGAAACCAGAGTAGAGGAGGAAGAGCGAATCACTGTTGTGAAATTCGTCTTTCACTTTCTGATCTACGAATTGACTATATTTATCTAAGGTTGACCACGTTCTATTCCCACTGTGTCGTCGTTCAAAATCAAAGCCTTTGAGCCTTCAACTTTTTCAACCAAACACGTTTGTTCTTTTGCATTTTTCCTGACCAGCTTTTGGCTGAATCAAGAACATGCAACTACGTGGAGCGCGTCGAAGAAACAAAATAATTATAAATCATAACACGTCTAACCGGGGTAAGAGTAAGTCTCCTGATTATATATATAATTTATTATAGTTTTAAGGTTTTTATTAAATAAATAAATTGTTTTTATGAAATTTTCTAATAAAATAAGATAAATAAATACTTTATCGTATTAATTTATTTAAAAATATAAATAAATGTCAAAATTTAGATAATATATCTATAAATATTTAAATTATGTAAAATTTGATATACATAATCATGAATATAATAAAATTAATTATTTTTTATTTTAAAATATTATTAAAAAGTATAAATATTTAAATTTGACTTCTTTTGTTAATAAATTATAATTTAAATATATGCATGACACCACTAAACACAAGTATTTTTTAGATACTTAATCATGGTCTAATTTCACCTTAATCATCACGTGGCATTATTTTTTTTAAAGGAATTATAATGAAAATTTTGTATATATAATGCTTGTCTTTGTTATCTAAACTAATCAAAAGAAACTTATGAAATTCCTTGAAAGGTTACTAAAGGCAAACAATTTATTTTTCATTATAATGGAAATAGAACAACACAGATCTATTTTATATTTGTAATTGCTAACACATTTAACAATTTTTAAAACTAATTGAGATAAGAGTTTTAAACAAAATAATATTCTTAAATCGTATTACATGTTCCAAGATCAACCATTTAACATTGTTTTTGGCATTCATGACTATTAACCAACATATAATTAGAAAGAAAAAGGTAGTGAACTACATTTTAAAACATCTTCCTTTTTTAAAAAAAATATATTTTTATTTTAAAAGATTTAATTTATTGTAAAAAAATTAATATTTTAGAAAATAATAAAGAAAATTCCTTTTTTTGGTCTCTTAATACCTTTATAAAGTGAAAAGATATTTTATTTAAATGCAAATATTTTTTAAATTAAGGATAACTATCAATCTTTATTTCTTTTAAAAAATCTTGAATCATAATCAATTCACAGACGTGTGTGCATATTTTGTGTACCCACATTTAAGATTAAAGGCGTTGAGATTCTGTATTTTTTCACCGAGTAGTAAAATAAATAATCAAAACTTACTTCAGAAGTGGGTGAACTAATTTCCTATACAAATATAATTCAAATCGAGTGAAGTAAAATTATTATAAAATAATAAAGGCTCCTATTTGTATTTTTAATACAATCACAATCTAAAATATTTAAACTTAAAATTCCTAATTATATTGTGATACTTCATTAAATTATATTTGTACACTTTGATACCATATATTTGTTTAAATTAATAATATTATTTTAATATAACATGTTACGTATTTTACTTTTATTTAAATTTTATATAATTCATATGCTTGATATATTTACTAATTAATTATAAAAAATTTTGTTTTGTGTAAGATCATTGATATCTAGATATTACATTGTGCATCTAGTTAATTTGGTTGGATTCCCATGATACTATTACTAGTATGAGCAACAAAAGCTCTCTTATTTTCAGTCTGTTTGACACAACTTCATATTTAATAATTCAATTTCAAAACTTCTCATTAAATTAGAACAACCATCCCCACTAATTTAGAAGCTTAAAGCTATAAAATTTAACATTGGATGGTTAACAATAAGTATTTTCTCTAGATAATATTAAAACAATTGGAAATCTATGAAATACTCGTGTAATATAGTACACGACGTTGTACACTTTTTTATATTATCCGATATTTTATTTGCATAAGGATTTTTCTCGAATTCTACACGTAACCAATATTCTATATATACCAAATTAAAATAAAATATTTTCTATTTAAAAAAATACACGTGAAAATGACAACTATTTTTAGACATAAATACACCTAAACTGAAATTTAGTTTATTATTGAACTGATTTGAGTTTTATTAACAAAAGTATAGACCTCGGTTCTTAAAAAAATATTTTATCTAATAATTAATAAGACATTAAAAAGTATATTATTAATAATTTTCTTTTTGATTATATGAGATTTTCTTATTTAGCTTTGATATATATATATAATTAAAATAAATTTATAATACAAGTAAACGAGCACAAGTATTACCATTCCATATATGAATTTAAACCGGCCCGTTTGATATCTTATAATTCATAGATATTTTCTACTAATATTTAATAAATATAAGGCACATTTTCATTCCTGTGTTTCTCTACTGCCTTTGCTGATTTATGTTGATCTTTTCTTAACCATTTATTTTTCAACCAATAGTTTGTGATTAATTTCTGTAAAAAAAAAAATATAAAATTCATTATATATCTTTTTGATAAAGTATTGTCTTGACAAGTATTAAAAATAACCCCCACCATTACTTTAAATAGAAAAAGCGATAAATTCATTTTTTTAAACAGCCATGGCGAAACATAAATAAGATAAGATATCCTATGCAATGTGAGAACAATAATATCCATTGAATAAAATCGTAACTATGACGTGTGTAATTTATGTGGGCTGCTGCCTGTTAGATTCAATTTAAAAATAAATCATAGCCGCTAAATGGAAAGAATTTAAAATTTCTCAACATGTAATGAATTGGAAGAAAGATAATGGAAGAACATCTTAGCGTGGCCTGCCATGATTTTGAAAGCCACATTGCAGTGTTCAACTGTGAAATTATTAAATTCCAAGAATTGTGTTTCTTTTGTTGATCACTGCTGGAAAATTATGGAGCATCTTTTTTTTTTCCACTGTTCTTCATTTTCAAAAAATTGAAATTAACTTTTCACTTTTTATGTATAAAATCAGCCTTTTTAATTGGAATGGTAAGCTCATCTCAAACAGGTTAGATTTTGGCTGGAAGTATAGAAAAAGAAAAAATAGAAAAATAAAGAATAAAGTATTTGAAGAATAAAAAAGAGAAATAGAAAAAAGAGTAAGAAGTTAAATCTTTCTTTTATTTAGATATTTAATACCACAATAAAAGTATAATTGAGAGTTTTAATTATGTAAATTATATTATTATTTGTTCATATATTTATTTATATATATTTTTAAAATAAAATTTAAATATTTTTATCTCTCTAGAAATTAATATTTTTATCTTT